CCCTGATACCGCCCAGGAGGCCCATCTCATCTCATACATAATTATTCCATAACATAGAAAATTAATAAATGTTTATTATAGTTTTTCCAGAGTGACTTGAATTTTGCATGATTTAGTTCATTTGTTAGATTGTGAACATCTTACACTATATTTCTTTTAGTTGAATTTTATATGCTTTGGTTGAGATTTTATGTTGATGTTAAATCTTTTAAGTTTATTTTGTTGAAGAATTGACTCTAGAGTGCATATTTTGTGTCCATGAAAAGAACTGTTCTTGTTAATTTGATGAAAACATTTTAAATTTCCAGTGCACTCACATCAGAATAACTTATAGATTTGTTGTTAGAATAATAGATTAATTGAAAAAATAATAGTTAGATTAATCATTACAAAATAATCGTTTGGTACAGCACTACTGAATATTAGACGCAGTTTTGTATTTTATACTTTCTGATCATTGCAGCTAGGGATGTACGATATATTGGTATTGATATCGATATCGGCCAATATTGGTCATTTTTTAGAATATCCGTATCGGTCCAATATGTAAAACGGGGCCAATATTAATGTCCAATACTGATTTTCCATTTTTTATCTTTGTGTTTGTGTTTTGAGAGGGGACATGGTTGATTGAACAGGATCTGTTTGATCATAATAGTGATATTGATGCTGCATAAACAGGAATAACTGAAGTAGGGAGCCATGTCAGAGGTCTGGTTGTTTACTTACAGTATCAAAAAAAGACCGAAGTGTGTTTTTGCTTATATGTATAATATAATTTGTATGTTTGTGTAATATCGGTAAATATCGGTTATCGGCCATAACACCAATAATTATATCGGATATCGATAGAGTGAAATCTTCCTATCGGTGCATCCATAATTACAGCCTTAACAGAATAAGAGTTGGTGTGGTTCTTATCATGTGTCCTTTCTTTAGTCTAAACAAAAATGAGTTACGTTCTGACGTAAAAGGTAACACCTCCAGGTGTGTACYCAGGAAGTGATGAACKTTATAAGGTCAATTCATTTTTATAGTAGAGAGAAGATGTCAGCGTGTTGCAGAGTCTCTGCTCAGAGCAGAGATGCTGTTTTGGTTTGTTTTCAGCCCAAGGTCTTACTGAGGCCTGTGTGCTGTACCTGACTGCAGTCAGAAGATTGAGAATAAAGTTTTAACAAGAAATCCAGTGGATTTCTTTTAATTTAGACATACCATTTTTGAACAGTTTGGCTAACTAACTAACAGCTAACTAAAACTAATTTTTTGTTTAGTGGACTAAACAGAACTGAGTGATGTAGCGGTTAAAGATTAGCTGTTAGTGTTAGAAAAAGAAAAAAATAGTATAGGTCTTCTGGACGGGTTCTTCTCTAATGAAACGTTTCTTCTCTCCTCCAAGAGACTTCTTCAGTCTGAGAGTTTCAGGCTAAATTCAGGCTTTTAAGCCCTGCCTCCATGTGACTGATACTCACATCACATGGCTATCGTTGACACCTAATTAACACCTATTGTTAACAGGGGGTGGAGTGGAAAGATCCGGTGCCCCGGCACAAACAGAGCAATGTTGTATATGCTGTTAAGTGCCAGGAGGACTGCGACCAGTTATACAT